ATAATTCGGTTGCTAATTCGAAATTTATACGATTGATATTTCACTTTGATAAAAGTTAACATATTTCATTCTTATGATGCGTGATATCAAAATTTCGTGTTTTAAATTTCAGTTGTGGTTCTTTAGCTATTTTTTTAATTGTGAAGCGAAAATGTTCGACTGTAAAATTTAGTCTTCACTGAAAACAGATCACAATATTAATGAAAGCGACAACACTGTAATATGAATAACATTAATGTTTCTTTTCCCAATTCATCAATACGTTTACGAAATGGCTATTATCTGAGTATTTTAAAATGTTATAGTCCAGGGTAATGCAACAATTCAGTCGATTTCATCAATATGGACTACTTCACTTGATAGCTTCGTATAATAAAACTGTGCATATGAAAACGTTTGGTATTCCAAGTATAAATTCTCTTTGATGAATGAAAACAAGTTTCGGATACATCAGTCAGAATTTATTGTAGCAGTAGATAAAATCTTCGTGATAAACTTTGTAGGATAACAGTGATTACGCCCATTACAAACCATAGTTTAAAGTTTTATCATTGAACAGACGCTGTTATTCGGTAATCTGTTCATGAGTTGAACATTTGGTAACAGTAATATTAAAATTTTCCCCATGCAATTACCAACATCTCATCTGTGATCATTATGACATAAAGCATTTCGTTTTAGAGGAGTTGGTGTTTCCGGATAATGCAGTTTAACATCATCTTCCACACCAGTACACCTATCCAGATATATATGTAACACGGGTTGTTCGTTCCTGTCCAATTCTAGAGGTTTAAAAAGAATTTATTATTTTCGTTCACATGGACAGTAGGTTAATAATGCTTGGATTAGAGGCCAAGAGCGATTTTTGTTAACCTTAATTAAATAAGAAGTAATTAGTCAGTAAGTCAAAGTGTTTCTCCAAAAATATTACCCTAGATTCAGCTAGATACCAACATTATCATACATACAACTTTATAAGTTTTTCATCTCATAATGCTTATTTGATTTCTTTTCACGTCTTTCGTTCAGACGCTTTACACTGACAAACTGCGATTTTGTTAGTAGAGCTTATATGTTGGTTGTTAAAGCTATTTCCATGTATTCCATGAATTACTTAAGAATACGTCACGTTTGAGCGAATTTCAGCAATACGCTTCTTAGGATAATTATATTAACTGTCCAAGACAGTTATTCACCGATTCAAGACCACCTATTTTCCAGCTTTGCAAATAGTTCAAAAGATTTTCCTTTTTCACATTTGTTCACACTTATTAATTATGTATGTTAATTCCATGAAGTACTCATCCGCTTTTAAAAAAATTTGCTTACAACCCTACCACAGTGTAAAATACTGCAAAACTCAAGCGGACATTTATCTCGATAGTTGTAACAGTTTCCAGTTTTGTATTTGTTTGTTGTTTGAAGACCACAACTTTGGAATTCATGTATATTAAATGCAATGAAAATATTCTACAAAAACTTATTTAGTGTATGTACATAACAAGAGAAAAAGTTTGCAGAAGCCGATATTCCCGGAAGGAGATTTACTCTAAACTAAATGACAGATAATCAGTTCTTTTTGACAGAAGTTTATTATGTTTATTGCATGCTAATAATCAAAACGTAATTCGTTACAATGTTTTATAGATTGTACTAAAAACATTCATGCAGTAGATTAACAGAAAATGTGCATTTAGCATAAAACTACTTACTGTACAATAATAGTCACTGACTGTGTCAATATATCATTTCTTGATAGATAAGATTAATTATTATTGTTATTTTATAACTGAATAATGTATCTTTTCGTGTAGGAAGTTCATTTAGGTATGACTGACTTTGACAGTAATTTACACAGATAGCCAAATTTACAAAAATAATTGGAACTAACAGACTTTATTAGTATATGCATACAACAATAGATTTTCACTTTGCTTATGACTGATTATGATACTCACATGAATGACTTCGTGTAAACTTAACGAAGAGGCACAAACAGGTCAATGTTTATTATATCAACAATTTCCTCTTATGCTGGAAAGTTACCATCTTGAAATCAGACATGTCATTTGGAAATGAAGGCAACGAAACATTTCATATTTAAAATATTCAGTTATTTCTGTTATGTTTACTTTTTAGCCATACTATTGTGTGCAAACAAACCTTCCATGTGTTGTTACATACAATATAACATAGTTCAGGGTTCAAATGAATTATTCAGATTCAGACTCATAAACAGAATGATTGTTTAATTATTTTTTTATATGAATTAATGTTAACATTACAATAGCGAAAATCAAAAATACACAGGGATTCTGTTTCTTTAATTTTACTGTTAAAATAGTCTGTTGCGTGTAAATTCAGTGAAATCTTGATGAATTATTTAACAGTTGATTGTTTTATGCAGTTTTTCACAATTTTTGCTCTTATTTTATGGTTGTGATTTTGGAATGCATGAAAAGCAGTGGATCATAAAAACTTCATATTCACTCAAATAAATTTGGATTTTGTAATCGCAACAGTGATCATACCATTCGACTAGTCAGTCATCAGAGTGATCACTAGTCTAGCTATTAAAAAAAACCTTGAGGTTCCATAGATTTATGTTTAGCCTCAATTTTTAAACTTAGCCAGACTCAAACTCAAACAACCTTGTTTGCATCTGTTGTGAGATGAATAAATTCTAACTCAAATATTAAAAAAATCTGTTTATTCCACCAGTTTGGAAATTCCCTAATAAAAGCAAAGGCTTATAAATGATCAACACAAAATGATATGCAAAAGATTCATAAAACGTGTCAATAAAAGGTCCATAACTGAACATAGTCAATGTCTTGTTATGTTTCATAGAAAAGTCTTTTGTGTAAAATAGAAAACTTTGAAAAGACTATATAAAAGATAACTGCATTATTTGATGAACTGTATGTTTAACAGTCATATTCGTTTACGTTATTTTATGGATAATGTAAACACAGAAACTTCAAATAATTTAGGTTTTAAACAAAATTATTATTTACGTTATATACCAGTAAGCTGTTACAGAACAAAATCATATTGTAATTACCAAAACGGTAAGAGATATTTATACGGCTATGATTAAGATTTCAGAAATGTTCATCTTTAATTGGTATTTTTTTTCAGTATGACATACAATAGTTTAAGATACAGTCAGTGAGATGCAAGCTGTGTTACAAAGTTTCTTTCCAATGGTTTTAATCCTAGTTAAAGCAAAACAATTGTCAGTTGTAATGTTAGATTTTAAGTGAGAACCAAGTAGTTAATTTCTAATCGAGTTAGTTCATTTTCTAATCTTTTGGTCAGTTGTATAAATAGATTTTAAACGTTTTTGCAAGCTACTGTTGTAGGTTAAACTAACAACCTCAACCTTGCTGGTATTCACGGACTTTCATCTGATTAGTCAATTTTATCATTACATTTGCTGTTAATAAGCAATGACTGTTTACTTTCTAAAGAAGTGACCAACATAACAGTCAAGAAACTTCGCAATACGATACTACCGAAATAGTACTTCTACTGTAATAATACAAGTCAAATGATGAATGAAAACTAACAGTTCATAGATGAAAAGGATTATAAGGTGAATAAGACCAGAATTTTTATTTTGTGTAATACTGTTCAGAATCTATCACACCTAGATAGTCCGAATACGTTCAGTCTATTCTTTGCGTGATATGTATAAACAAGTAGCTTGAATCTGACTCTTCCCATGTCAACTCTTTATGAAATGACTTGTATCATTTATGTATCCTAAATAAGTTAGTGAACTTTTAAAGAGGATCATTTTGAATTTTAGCATTCACGTTTACAGCACTTGGGTTGTTAGAACGGGATAAGAAAGGTAATTATGTTATAAGTCAGTGTGATAACTGTGTAGTCTTAATACTTTTCTGCTTATGTCGGCTATCAAGGATATTTACAAATAAATTATTAGACTTCAGTAATATTAGTACATAAGTGAGTATATTTGTTTAAAGTCATTAAGGCGGCACAAAAAGCAGCTGTTCTGCTGCTCAGTGGGTTTCACTAACACTGAGAGCTTGTTTGTCATTGAAAGGTTAATCGATACCCTTCTGTTGTCACCTCCGAATACATATACAAAATTACATGTACCTGCGGTAGCAATTATTTAAAAAGGACATAAAGAAGGGTCTCTATGTGGTTTTCCTGAACACATTTCCAGGAACCTATGGGTGAAAGGTGGAGTCTTTTCAAGTGCTTTTCCAAATACATTTTGGATAGTGGGCATGAAGAGGATGTAAGCAGTGCATTTAAAACCAATCCTAGTCGATTTAACAAAAATTCTCGCTAACAGACGCTTCCAACTTGACTTATCTATACGGAAAGAAAGTGTGACTAGCTTTTCCCTGCCATGGTAGTAGGATGTTTAGCTAATAAACTTCAATAAATTTCACTTTAAACATATCTTCTAAGCCCCATCTCCATCCCTTATTTGAGTTAATTGTTTTTTCATCTTTTGATATTCACTTTTTTACATAATCTTACTGATATTCACATGTTTGCTAATTTTATCATGTTGAGCAATTACATAATCAATTAATAATTCCATTACCCTTACATAACCTATTTTATCGTCATCATAATACGTGTTATGTCTTCCCAAAATATAAATACACATCGATCTCAACTATGTTTATGCATACGCTTTGTACCCTTATCCTTCTTATCATTATGAATTTAGTTACATTTAGAACATGCATCTAAATTGCAAAAACTAAAGTACGCTAGAGATTTGTCAATAATTATATTAAATAATTGTAATTTTAGGTTGTGAGCAACTGATTAGAAAGTGTGCAATAGAATGAATTCATTTTATTCTGTAAACCATGTTATTCTTGCTGATTTGATGAGATTCCCTATAATGTTTACGACTGATTAACGTAAATAGTAATTTCTGAATTTTACATTGTAATTGAAGAAACAAGATTAAATAGGTTTTCAAACAATTCAATCAGACTTACTTGTAAGTCATCCAATTTATATGTGATTTCAGCATTTTTCCCAAAATCATCATCAAGTGCAGTTAATATAGCTACAATAGAATTGACTGGTAAATCCTCTGATAAATTATAATAGAATATTTGTTTTTCAAATTGTGGTGCATGATCATTTTGATCTATCACATTAATCAATACTTCTGCTGTAACATTTTTCGGTGGATGGCCATTATCCATTGCAGTCACATTGAATTTGATTTCATCAATAGCAGTTTTCTTGTCAATTTTTACTTTACTATACAATATACCAGTGTCTGGATCAATACGAAAATATTGCTGACCATGTGAATCAATCAGATATTTAATCCTGTTTGTTGGTTGATTGCTCAACAGATGTTGATGATGATGATGATGAATGTAATGATAGTTGGGTTCGTTCATTCGATATGTATTTCCACCATATAAATAATTCTGATAATCAGGATCTGTTGCATTAAATGTAAATAAAATTTCATCAGGCGGTGTATTTTCCAAAATATCTAATTGAAATTTGTGTGTATTAAATGTAGGTGGGTTATCGTTTTCATCTAGTATTCTTACATAGAATTGTATTTGTCCTGTACGTGCTGTTGCACTATTCAACGGTTGATCTGTACACATTATTTCTATCATCTCTATTGTACTAAGCTCACGATCAAGTTCTGTGGAAGTAACTATTTTAAAATCTAAAGTGTTTAGAGACTCTTTTGAAGACTGACTGTCTGGTGATTCAATGCTATAAAAATCGAAGTTATTAATTAAATAAGTGTTTGAAATAGACTTCGATGGAGTTATTTGTTCAAGTTTAAACTTGGGATTATTTATACGACATGACAATGCACCATTCGGACCAGAATCTGCATCGGTAGCAGTAGCAAATGCCACTAACTGACCTGGCTGTCTATTTTCCATCACTGTAGGATATGGTGGGTTACTGCGGCTCTCTAAATCAATAACTTTAATCAGTGGCGTTTCATCATTGACATCATTTATACGGACATCGACTGCTGTATAAGAGGAATGTGAAATTGGCTTACCAAAATCACTAGTGATCACTTTAAATCGTAAGTGTTTATTCGATTGAGGTAGTCGATCAGCATCTAATGGTCTGTTCACTGTTATAATGCCTGTTTGTGAGTCGATAATAAATGGAAAGTTTGATACCAGTGCCTGATCTATCATGAGGCGATAATGTAATCTACCATTATCACCAAGGTCTGGATCTGTCCCATTGATTCTGCCCAATAGCGTGCCTACCTTGGCATCTTCTGCTATGTCAAGATTCAGTGCTTTCGGTACAATAGGAATGTTATCATTGATATCTGTAATACGAATACGGATCAAAATGGTACCGGTATGTTTAATCTTTTGAAGGGAATGTCCATTTGATGATTTATTACTGTTTACATTCTGATAATTGGAAGTATCAGTTTCTAGATATTTAATTCCATCAATCGCCAACAGTTTTATCCAATAAAACTCAGTTGTTTCTCTATCAAGATAATTAATTACTTTTAGTGAAGGTATCAACAGTTCGTTATTTGCATTTAGTTCAAATCCTTCATTTGTTTGCTGTAACGGAGTATTCAAGTCTACTCCAATATAATTCTGAACTAATGAATCAGTGCATGACTTTTGTTCTAGTGAGAATGGCAATTCATTTTTATCTATCTCAATAAGATTCGAATGTGGAAGTTTGTGTTTTATTTGTAAGATATCTGATTGAGTTAAAGACTCCATTTGATATTCAGTTACGTCATAACTACTTGAATCCAAATCGAATGCTTTTGGTAGGTTTATACACGAGTGTAATTCCATTGATTCTTCAATGGATATTTCAATTACAGGTATTGGATTATACAAAAGTGTGGTTGTCTTTGGCAAAGGAACAGGAAGAATAAACTGTGGTGAATTATCATTAATATCCAATAATTCTACTTCTACCGTAATATATGCCATTTTCTCAATTATTCCTTTAACTTCACTATACCTATCGTTTCCAACGAAATCGCGATGATAATACATAGAAAAAATTACACGAAATTGAATTAAACAAACATCTGCTGTTTTACTGTTATATGATTTATATGTTTGACCACCATTTGATATAGGCATACGACCAGACGTATCTAAATATTCATGTAAACTATTTTTAACCGTTGAACTTGAACAACATAATTGATTTTTACTACACAATGTATCTCTATCGATAGCCATCATTGTATGTATACTTTCAGTTTCTTTGTTTAATCGGAACAGACGAGTTATCGATGGGATTTGAGAGACCAAAGTTAAACTAGACGGTACAATGGAAACTTTGTTTTTCAAATCATGATTAGCATTATTTACAGTGTCATAATTAGTCAATGGGACAGAGTTTAAAAATCCGCCAATATTTATTACAACAGTTCCTGAGGGAGATTCTTCTTTGAGTTTAATTCGTACATATTTTGGAACATTGATTTCTTCAGTTGATGTATTCACAGCCACACAATGTATATCAAATTTCAATAACAAAATATTTAATATTAACAAAACTGATACATAGTAGAAAATAAATCCAGAATAACGTAAAATAAAAATGTACAAGTTGAAAATGTGTTTATGATAATTTACAATAAACATGAAATAAACAATTGTATTTATTGATAATAATTTGGAATTAATTATTGTTCTATGTTTAGTAGCATAATGCATAAAAATTAATGAGTTGAAAATGGAATTTTACTTTTGTAGATGAAATTTCGTCCAATTAGAAACTCCGTTTAACACGATTGGTGTATTGAAACTCACATGACAAGTTGTATAAAATAAATGGAATACATGTGAAACTATTTCTGTGGAATGCTTTTCAATTTCTCTTACATTTAAAGATATATTTTTGTTTATTTAACAAACTTAAATCAACCTCACATATCTATATTAGTTCTAGTGGCAATAACAAATTGGACAGATTCATTTTTTTCTGTCTGTTTAGCAGTAAAGTGGTTGCAGGCGCTAAGCAGCAAATTCTAAATCTGCTTCATATTCTTTGTATTCATTTGTGTCTGTAACCTTGAGGTAGGTGTTAGTTCAGAAGGGATTAAAAGTCAAACTTATGGTTCCAGGAACCAGTGTAGCTTAAATAGTTCAATGACGATGTTTGAAACTGTATTGTTCTGTGTTAGGGGACCTTTCACATTCAGGTTGATACTATAGTTCTGTATGAAGGCCATGAAGTCTATATACAATTTAATGCAAGAGCACTGATTTAAGAATAGTGATAAATTTGTTAGGACAAAAGCATGCAATAAAGGAATGGTAATATCTATTTTATGAACAATGAAACTGTAAGAAACTGAAGATCAAGTTTTTGATATCGAGTTATCAAGTTATCACTCCGTGATTCCAAATGCAGAAGAATAATCTACCAGAAGGCAGTCATTGTTGCCAATCCATCCCAGTGAATTCTAGTTTACAGTGTTGACTCAAGAATTCAATCCAATCACGTGATTTCTCCTACTATGTACATAAATGAGCTGTTAAATTCAAAATTTTTAAAATTTACCAATTTACAGAGAATGGTTTATTCATAGTACTGGTATAGCAGCTGACGAATCTTGGATGCCATTGCTGGCCACATAGCAAATACACTAAAATATCACAAAATGTTTTTTTGAAAGATCGAATATACTGGACTTAAAAAATGATGTTCAATAAATAAACTTACATTATTTCTCATCTTCAATGGATTACAAATACATAATTAGTATGAATATTGTTGTACATCGATGGTTACTCAAGTTTAACTAGGTTTTTTAATAGAAATTTAAATCAGATGTGAAACTACTGCTGATAAGTTAGGAATATAGAACAGCAGTTACGTTCTATATTCGATTTCTCATTAGGTCATGGGCTTGATTCAAATACCCTCAAAATGAGATTTCATACAAGTAACCATATAGTGTCAATGACACTCCTGATGCTAGTTTCACTTGCATCATCACTGCATCTAATTTATTACTAACTTATATTAGTTATCTCAGTTCTAAGCTATAAATTGTAACTGGTGGAGCAAACCAAACTCAAAGAGCTACCAGTGTGGTGCGCGCTACTTATAAGTAGTATGTGACGCGAGTAAAAACGTAATGTCTGGCAGCAGAAGATGGGGGAAGATCAAGAAAGGAAGAGCCGGAACACAATGGGATTTGTACGAAATGCATGAACAGTGAAATGTCAGACAATGGATTGGTGTTTTTAACAGGAACAGTCCAGTTCGATATGATGGATTGATATTTTGCAAATTAACGATTTACGATATGGTTTTCGTATTTTACCGATTAACTCTGTAATTTGCGATAAATACAATTCGGTTGCCCTCACCTGTGTTCTCCTTCACTACACCAGTAATCACCTATAACTATATCAAAAGAGTTTGAAACAGTGATTACACTGGTTCAAAAGTAAGAATAGACGTTGTACTTGAGTGGAAAACTGCAAGCAATAGATTTTAATTACATTAATCAATAGCAAGCTTTGGTCTATCTAAATTCAATACAAAAACACCATTATCAACAACTTATCTGTTTTCAGCTTTTTAAACAATTCTAAAAAATTTATCATCGAAAAATCTTTATTTGAGTTCACCAACAGTTGTGTATAAATCAGAAAGTTTTCATTTAAAACTAATGATGAAATGTTTTTCACAAGTCACAAAAGAATCAACAAATAAATTCTCAACTTTAGTTCTTCAAGATAAGTAGATGATAGTTTCATGATAAATAAATCTATGAACAGTTATTTATGATAAATAGTAGACCATCATTTATCAAAATCAATACTTAAGAATAACTGACATGAGGTAAAATTAAATTCAAATCCAGATAACACATACTTAACAACTAGTAACCTAAAAGTTAAATAAGATCAAAATTGGAAACACTGTGAAAATATTATTTATCAAACTGTATCTAGACGTCCAATGTTATCTGGGAAAATTTTCCAAAAAAAATATGTTTAAAGTAAGAATTTATAATATTTCAATCAGAAAAAAAATCTTATGTTAATATACTTTCTATAACTACATTTACTAATCCAGATATCAATAAACTAAGGAATTCCCTTAATTTTCTTACCTACTTGAAAATGTGAAATAACTTGTTCGATAACGGTTTGTCAACAGCAGTAAATAATATAACTTTTCATAACAGTTGTTTAGCACTAATTAAATTAAATAATCCTCCAGTTATGATATTGGTTTTTATAAATGAACAATATTTCACGCTTCATTGTTCATAAATTTCGGAAAGAATAAGTGCAATTTTAGTTTGTTGATTGATAGAAAACAGTGAAATAATGAGTACTGAACACCTGCCATGTATAAACTAAATAAGTATGCTGGTATATGTATATGTATACAATAAATTAGGAAACAGGAAACCTCATAAAAGAGTCTGACAAGTTCAACTCTTCTTGATGAATGGGTTAGTCAACTTTCATGTAACAGCCAAAGTTGAGGGGGCACGTTTTAGAATTTCAACAATTTGTAAAAATAATTCATCGTAATATCATTATAGTTGCTTAAAATGGTGAGAATACACTCAAGATGAAGCACAAACCCTTAGGTGATAAAAGTAAGCAGTCATATCCCAAAATGCAGTTAATAATAGATATGCTAAATCTCATTTGTTGTTTGTCATTCATTTAATCAACACAAACTTTTCTGGACTTGTTAAACTTTTCTATTTAAAACAAATAGTTCGTTTTATAAATTTTGATCGAACAGTGAGAACACGTAATTGATCTGAAAAATGTGATGTATTTGAGCTACACATTTCGAACAATCTGGTCACACATATTTACTTGTCAAGGCATTTCATAGGAAGATTAATAAAAGGTCAATTAAATAAAAGTTCAAATAGACATAAGGTGATAATTGTAAATAAGGGAGAGAGAAAATTAACGTAATATGAAAAGAATAAGAAAGGGTAGGAAATTGTCACATTACCCTAGGCTTAAAGATTACCAGGGTAAATTCAATGTTATACATAAGGGGAGTTTTAATTTTCGAATAGCCAAGACCTCAATAAACCTCAAATTTCGTCCTTCAACATTTCTATACAATGTCTTGAAGGCCATCTTGATGTCAATCTTAAGCCCTGTCTCAATTATGTATTTTGCGATCGATGAACATGGTTTTCTATTTCCCACGCTAATCGGTTCATCTGACGTTAACTGATTTTGAAGACACTTAGGTACATGTTCCATAACTCTTGGTTGCAAAGTCCGATTACTCCTTCCTATGTATGTGTGTCCACACAAACATGTAAATTAATAAATGCAATAGGATGTGATGTAATCATTTGAGTAACGTTTAGGTCTATGTGGAATCATGGGCTTAGTCTTTTCAATTACAATCAGTTTAGCAGCGTAGTATGTTTTCTTTATGGCTGCTTTTAGTCGCCGTCTTGACATTAGACCATTTGTTTCACCTCTAAATGGTGAAGTGATACAAAACTTTTTCTTCTCAGCAGAATGAAAAACAGGCTTTTGTCTCAGTTTATTTCTATACCTGTTGACGAACTTTAGCGGATAGCCGTTTAAAATAAATGTTTCAGTTAAGAACTTTGCATCGTCTTAAACGTATCCGTGGTGCAAATCGTTTGAGACCCACTGAAGAGGCATTTTACCAAACCTTGCTTATGTTGCAGTGGACAAAAATTGCTGAAATTTCATTAATGTCCTATCCAGGTTGGTTTCCTATAAACCGAACGCTTTATAGTTCCATTCTCCCTTCTACTCAACAGTATGTCTAAAAAGGGGTTAATGTGACAGTTACCTACCCTTTCTTATTCTTTTCATATTACGTTATTTTTCTCTCGCCTTTATTTGCAATTATCACCTCATGTCTATTTGAAATTTTATTTGATTGACCTATTATTATTCTTCATATAAAATGCCTTGACAAGTATATATGTGACCGGATTGTTCGAAATGTATAACGCAAATACATCACATTTTCTAGATCAAATACGTTTTCACACTGTTCTATCGAAACTTTTCTATCTCATTTCTTTTTTATATCTAACGCATTACCTAACTCTTTTTGGTTGTATAAATGAATAACTTCAAATATTAGCGCCAATTATCATCGGTTACTATTTTACTGGTTTTAATAAATTCATAAACTTCAAGATAATCCACTTCTGTTAAAATGTATGAAAAATGAAGGATGTATCATTGCGAGCACAGTGCACTAGCTTGATAAAGTTACCCTAAAATTACACCAGATTCATTATTTCATAAATGCCTACAGGTAATCACTTTACATTGTTTTGATGAGATGACCTTGTGCTTGGGTTCGGTGGTTGTTATCAGTTTCCATTGATACTCTTCAGTATTTATGAGGGAGCTGATACTCTCCGGCTACCGCAGTCAGAGATATTATTACGTAGCAGTTTACCTCACTTCTAGCCCCCTGTATAGATGAACTAGTTACCAATACAACAGTATTTAATATTTAATAAACCTTAGAATTAGATAGATCAAGTTTAGCCTATTTCTGCACGTATTGTAGTGAATGAGAACACAGGTGGGGGCAACCGAATTGTATTTAACGAAAATTACAGAGTTACTCAGTAAAATCGGAAAACCATATCGTAAATCGTTCATTTGCAAAAGATCAGTTCATCCTATGGAACTGGACTGTTTCTGTTGCC